GCAATCATTAGAGTGAACTGGCAACCAACAGAATGGGAAAAAAAATTGTTGCAATCTACCCATCTGACAAAGGGCTAATATCCAGAACCTACAAAGAACTACAACAGATTTACAAGAAAAAAACAAGCAAACCCATTCAAAAGTGGGTGAAGGACATGAACAGACACTTTTCAAAAGGAGACATATACGAGGCCAACAAACATTAAAAAAAATGCTCATCATCACTGGTCATTAGAGAAATGCAAATCGAAACCACATTGAGATACCATCTCAAGCCACTTAGAATGGTGATCATTAAAAAATCAGGAGACAACAGATGCTGAAGAGGATGTGGAGAAATAGGAACACTTTTACACTGTTGGTGGGAGTGTAAATTAGTTCGACCATTGTGGAAGACAGTGTGGCAATACCTCAAGTACCTAGAAATAGAAATTCCATTTGACCCAGCAATCCCATTACTGGGTATATATCCAAAGAATTATAAATCGTTCTCTTATAAAGACACATGCACATGTATGTTCATTGCAGCACTGTTCACAATAGCAAAGATCTGGAACCAACCCAAATGCCCATCAATGATAGACTGGACAAGGAAAATATGGCACATATACATCATGGAATACTATACAGTCAAAAATCAATGAGTTTGTGTCCTTTGTAGGGACATGGATGAATCTGAAACCATCATTCTCAGCAAACTGACACAAGAACAGAAAATCAAACACCACGTGTTCGTACTCATAGGTGGGTGTTGCTGTATGCACATGAAGCTCAAGAACTTGGGAGCCTAGGAAGAGTTTGCCCCCTTGTGAATGAAAACAAACTTCATTTTCTTTATTCTGCGTCATAACATCTTTTCAGGTTAAAATGGTTAGAGTGTTATAAGAAGTTCTATGGCACAAAATGGATTTGACATTTACTTGTCCTTGTTTTCCTTTCAGCTTCCTGCATACAGCAGGAATCTGTCATCTTGAGGGAGTTCTTTCTTAAACCTGTGGGTTTGTAAGGTTTTACTTGCCTATTCTGTTGTTTTTGGGTCATGGTAGTTAGGGAAGAATTGTTAAAAATCTATTTTAACACCTTCTTCCCTTATTCAGGGCAGTTGGAGACTTAAATTTACATACACGTACTACCTTTGAACCTTTAGTGTGTTGTCTGCGTACTGAAAGATTGCAGTTGAGTTTAGAATGTGCTTTGAAGTTCCCTTTGTCAGACCACATTGTACCAAAGAAAGACTGCATTTTCTTTTTGTCTGTAATTATTTCCATAATTATTTAACTTGGTATAACATGTGGTACTGGAAAAGCATAACCCAAACCATTGTTTGCCTTAAGCGGTATTTTAGATTTGGGGATGTGGTGTTTACTTATACAAGCCTTTCTTACGCCCTTTTAATTTATATCTCGAACTTGAGGATATTCCCGAAAACAGTGGAAACTTTTCCTCACGAGATCTTGACACAGGTCAGAGATGGAAGTGAGCAAAAGGAAGTGGTGTGGTTTTTATATCATTTCGGTTGTGTAGAGATAAGGAAATGGGATAGTTTATCCACTGTTCTGCTCTTTTGGGAGCGTCTGGTTTGTATATAAAAGTAAAAGGAATTGGCATAATGTTTTAATTCCTTCTGCTCTATTCTGTCATTCCCTCAACAAATATTTATTTAGTATCAACTATGTGCCAAGCACTGTTCCAGGTGCTAAAAACATAAAGTGAGTGAAACGGACTAACAATCCTGCATGATCTGCACATGTACCCCAGAACCTAAAGCACAATAATATATATATATATATATGTATGTGTATATAAAAACTACACTAGGGAGTGAGTGCAGAGTGGCTGTCCCTCAAGCTGGTGGCATGCATGATCTTAATGCGATGGCAATGGGATATTTATTGCAGCTGCCATGGACTTATTCACTTATTCATTTACTCATCATTCACTGATTTAGTTTTTTGCTTGAATGCAGGGGCTCAGCCAGGGTACTGATATAGCGTAAAAAATTACTTGTATTTTAAATGGGATTGGGATTTTTAAAATTTTTCTGATTTATATGGATAGTCACATAAGTATATAATTGGACATAAATGCAAATATGTGACCTGCATATTTTTAGGCCACATTTTCTTCTCAGTTTTGCTTGCTTCCCCTCCCACTTTCACCTGCGTTCATGCCCCTTTTCCCACTGTGATATGGTGTGTGCTAACAATGAGTATGCATCCTTCCACATTTCCTGTGTGCTTACACAATCACGCAGTCCACACTCACACTCAGTGTCCTATCTGTGTGGCCATTAGTCCTTATTCTCACTCAGTAGCCATACCTTAGCTCTCTTCTTCTCCATTCTTCCTTGCTAACAGAACTTACTTGTTCAGATAGGAGGCAAAGACCCCTTGTTCTAAAGGAAAGTTGCTCATTTTCTAGCCTTAGCAGATGAATCCTGACTGGTGTTCATCCAATCCCTTTCTTCTTTCCGTTGATTTAGGAATGAGCACGAGGCTCAGTTCTTGTCAATAAAGAGGTAAGGAGACCTGTGGGGAAACATTTCTGGAATAGCCCCCTTTCTAATTTTCAAATTTTTATTATTTTATTTTTATTTTTTTATTATTATTTGAGACAGAGAGTTGCTCTGTTGCCCAGGCTGGAGTGCAATGGCATGATCTTGGTGGAATAACCTCCTTTCTTTACATAAGGAGCAGACCCAGCAGATACCATCCTCTCTCCTGATTCACGCTTTGACATAGATACAATGCCTGGAACTACAGCAATCATCTTGTAACCACAACGTGACAAAGAAGTCAAAAAGCCAACATCCTATTCTAGACTTTTTATGTAATGAGAAAAATAAACCCCTTTTTAAGCTCTTGATATTTTCTTTACTTGCAGCCATAAACATTCCTACTTGAGATGGAATTTTATGTTTTGAAGTGGGCTTAAAGTCTATCAGGAATAGACTCTAAAATATTAATTGGCTGAGCAGAAGAGGTAGGACAGAAGGCAGTGAGATTAAATTATTCCAGGTCAGTAATTTGATGATCGCAAAATATTTAGGTAAAAAGTGGCCAACTCAATATGCTGCAATATTGGGAGGAATGGTATGAAATTATAGAATGTTGATCTTTTTATTCATTGTTATGGCTCTGTATTAGTCTGTTATAATACTGCTGATAAAGTAATACCCAAGACTGGACAATTTACAGAAGAAAGAAGTTTAATGGACTCAGGTCCATGTGGTTGAGGAGGCTTCACAATGATGGCAGAAGGTAAAAGGCACATCTCACATGGTGGCAGACAAGAGAAGAGAACCTGTACATATAAAACCATCAGATCTTGTAAGACTTATTCATTATCACAAGAATAGCATGGGAAAGACCCATCCCCATGATTCAATTATCTCCCGCTGGGTCCCTCCCACAACACATGGGAATTATAGGAGCTATGATTCAAGATGAGATTTGGGTGGGGATGCAGCCAAATCTTATCAGGCTCTCAGCAAAAGAGAGCCATGGTGAAGATTAATAATTTTCCTCCCATATCATTCAGACTTAATTCCCTTTAATAATAGAAGTTTTCTGAGGTTCAGCAAGATACATGGTCACCCAGTCCAAAAATATATTTTCTCTCCTCCCCTACAGCTTGCATGGCCCTGTGACCAAGCTCTGACCAATGGGATGTATGTAGGAAGTATGTAACATCCTAAAATGGAAACTACATGCCTTCTACTTCTTCTTTCTCCATCCTAGTGGCTAGAAAATCATGATAAATGGCAGAGTGACCCTGGAGTTCATATGTTGGGGATGGCAGAATCATCTCACTAACTTTGAACTGCTCACTTCTGGAGCATTACATGAAAGAGAAATAAACTTATAAAAACACAATATTTGTGTTAGGGAGTGGGGGGTCCTTTTGTTTCAGCAGCTTATCTTATACCCTAGTTGTATCAAGACATGAGACCTTAACTTAGAGACACCTGGTTTGAGAGATGAGTGAGGGAAAAATCAGTTTTACCAAATGTGACGTTCTTCTCCAATCCAACTTAACAGAGAGTCCCATTATTTTAAGCGTGGCCAGGTTAACAAAGGCAATTTTTCCTCTCCTTCAGTTGAAGCTAATACAAGGGACACAGGAAAGTGACTGTAAGCACAGGAGTTTGGGCACTTAGGCACCAAAGAGGTGACTAAGGGTAGCATTCCCCATGTAACTCTTTTCTATCAAATTGTCTCATGCAATGGCCACTGGACCACGGGAGAGGGGACTGGACAGTGCACAATGACCAGCAGCTTGTAGGCAAGAATTCTTAGGCTTAAAGACCATTTCTCTACAAAGCCCTTGGATGTGGTTACTTACACATGAAATTGTTAAGAAGCAAATAGACTAGAAACATGCTGTCCTGAGGGAAATGTGTTGAAAACACAAAACCACAAAACCACAAACCCAGCGGGACCAGTCTAGGCCTCCTCAACCCCTAAGACAGTACTTCTTAACCTTGGCTACACATTGGAATCACCTGAGGAGTTTTAAAAATTACTGCCCCACTGGGGTCCTTGTGGCAAGATAATCTCAAAGAAGGGCTAAGTTGGAAGACTTATACTTCCTGATTTCAAAACTTACTATAAAGTTACAGCAATCAAGACAGTGTGGTATTAGTGATGAAAGGAAGAGAATGATGAGGTCAGAAACAGGCCCACATATATGTAGCCACTTAATTTTTGACAAAAGTTCCAGTGCAATTCAATGGAGGGAAGAAAGCTTTTCAATAAAGGAGGATGAATTAACTTTTTAAAAAATAAACCTTTATTCCTGTCTCACACACATACAAAAAATTTACTTGAGATAGGCAATAGACCTAAATCTGAGCACTAAAACTATAAAGCTTTTAAAAGAAACATAGAGGATAGTCTCATAATCTTAGGACAGGCAGAGATTCTTAGAACACAAAAAGGCTGGCTGGGCACAGTGGCTCATGCTGGTAGTGCCAGCACTTTGGGAGGCCAAGGAAGGCAGATCATGAGGTCGAGATCGAAACCATCCTGGCCAACATGGTGAAACTCCATCTCTACTAAAAACACAAAAATTAGCTGGGCATGGTGACATGCGCTTGTAGTCTCAGCTACTTGGGAGGCTGAGACAGGAGAATTGCTTGAACCCAGGAGGAAGAGGTTGCAGTGAGCCAAGATCATGCCACTGCACTCCAGCCTGGCAAAGAGCGAGACTTTATCTCAAAACAAAACAACACAAACAAACAACACAGACACACACACACACACACACACACACACACACACACACACAGGCTG